TAGATGTAATTATGAAAAATAAGAAAAATTGTTCTGTTTTATTCTAAAATATTCTATTAGTATAAAACATTATAGCCAGTCCTTACTCAAGACTGTTACCCCTATATAACCACTGTGGTTCTATAGAGATATAAAAAATTTTTATTTTTTAAAAAAGTAAAAGTAAGAAAAAAAAGATTTGTATTAATAAAACAAAAACTCTTTATAATTAATAGATAACTGTTTTGATAAATATAATATTTTTTTATATTTCTATTAACTTATATAACTTATATTATCATATACAAAAATATTATATTTTCAATATATATAAAAATAATCTTTAATTTTTCTGGAAATTGCAAAGTTAAACATTTAGTTTAATATTGATTGATAAATTTGAAAATAATAACTATATTGAAAAATAAATTATTTGTTTTTTTTTAAGATTATAGAAAAGAAAAAATTTTTGAAATTCATATCTTAAAAGAATTTATTATTTTTTGTTATAGTTTTTAAGAAAATTAAATTTTAGTAAGAAAGAAAAAAAAAGAGAAAAGGATATAAAAGTATAAAAAGTATATATATAAAAAAAGAAGATGAATAAAAGAATACAATAAAAAAAAACAAACAATACAAAAATTTTCTAAAAAAAATTTTTTTTTAAACACAGTAGAAGGGATGAAAAGAGTTTTTTAATTTTTTAATTAAAATAATTTTATTGTATATCAATATAATATAAAAATTTATATAACTAAATTCATTAAGTTATATATGGCTTGTATAATTTTAATATCTAATTGAATTAAATAATTGCATTCAGAAATCATATTTAACAAATATTATAATATTTTATTAATTATTTTTTTATTTAATACTTACTTTACAATATAACAATTCTATTAAAATCTTATTATTATTTTTATTTTTTTACTATAAGACTTTTTAAAAATATTTTGATTTTATAATAGTAGATTAATATACTGTATATTCTATATCCTTTATTTTTAAATTTTGATTCTGCATAAGACATTCAATTTTTTATTTGATAATTGATAAAGACACAAAGGTTTCACTTGATATTTTTTAAAAAAAAAAACACATAAATTATCATAACATTTTACTTTAATTTAAATATTTCTGAAATTATTAATAATCATTGATAAAAAAATATAGGTAGATAAATAATATAAAAAAGTAATAAATATATCAATTATGTGTTTAAGGTTTTATAAAACTTATTGGTATATATACATGATATAAAAAAAAGCCGAGATGTTTCTGAGCTTAAATCTTTATCAATAATGTAATATGAAGTCATTGAAATATCATAAAACTTTACATAAAAATATTTTTCAAGATAAAAAAAAAGTAAATTAATATTGTATTATTAACTTTTTCTTGAATTTCCTAAGACGATATACCGCGCGTGCCATTTCTTTATATGTCAACATATTATTAATTGATTCTCGGGGAAACTTCCGTAGGTAACTTTATGTATAAATTGGTGACACATCTGGCATGGATGGTAGGTAACTCTGGCCGCATCGCATTGCGCACGCGTTCATATTGTGTCCAAAAAGAATGAGCCTTTTATTTACCCGATGGTAGATTCGAATTCGCAATATAATGTAATGCGCGTGCTTCAGGTATGCCGAAATGGCTTTTATTATCGGGTAATTGTCGATTAAACCTTTTATGCATGCAATATTGTACAAGTCTTATCATGATTTTCATTAATGAATGGTATTTCCTTGCGAGGAAGAGTTATTTCGATTTGTCCCTGATCATGAGAACTCGTTATCTTTATTATGGAATGAATTGAATTGTGCAGATCCGTAGGACCACAAAGGCAATGACCAAAGAATCAGCCACAGTTGATAGACATGAATGATGTTCAGATTACAGATAAAAAATTTTTATTTTGGAAATTGACACAATACATCAAGTAATGTGATGACGAAAAAAGAAAAAATTAAATAACACATAGTTCATTACGAGAGGAAAGGAAATGATTTGAGTGGGAGAAGTATAGAATGCATATATCACAGTACATTATACGGTGATGAGTGGAAATGAAAATGCGTGTTCATATGTTGATTATCTTATCATACAATTGGAAACGAGGTTTTGTAGGAAAAGTTCAATTCATAAATATTCGATAGGAATGAATATGCTAATTGTAAATATTGTGAATATTTATAAGTACAAAACGGAAAATAAAAATATAATACATTTTTTATATATTTGACAATGTACAAATGTATCCAAAACATCCTCAGAGATACTTTTTTTTGGAGTGCATCAAGCACCTAAATTACAATAGATGTTTGTTATTAATCGAGTGATCGAGTGCATCGATTATAATGTCCAAGTGGAATATTCCTTCAACATCGTAATCTTTGATCAATTTTCCTGGCATGAAACATACGGAATAAATCTGCTAGTGTATATGGCCTCCGGATGGGTGTCTCCAAGGGAGATTTCGATTAGATCCAAGAACGATGATCTAACGTTTTCATCGAAATCTAAAAACTGACGAGTATTAACACTTGACTCCATCTTGTTCCATTTGGAAAGAATTTTGTACAATTCGCTCGCGCTTGGTCGATTTTCCATGTTATCATCCCAGCACCTTTTCATTAGATCCACATAACACTCGGGAGCTCCGCTTATAATTGGTGGTCTCAATCCGTCGATTATTGCCCGTTGAAGGCAAACGTCGTGCGCATTATCGGAAAAGGCCCTCTTTCCTGTCAGAAATTCCCACATGATCACGCCGAATGAGTAAATATCGGCGGCTTTCGTGTACGGTTTTCCTTGTAGAACCTCCGGAGCCACGTTTGGTAAGACTCCATAATAACCATCGGTCCTATTATAATCTTCGGCATTAGCGGGTCCCGATAATCCCATGTCCGATAAATGTGGCGTCATGTCACAGTCGAGCAAAATGTTTCCCATGTGCAAGTCACGGTGAACTATTCCAAACGAATGGAGCGCATTGATCTTTCTGACCATGTTGACGAGGACGTATAACTTGACTTCGAAATGTTCCGTTATTTCAGTGAGGTAAGAAGTTAAAGAACCATGTTCACAATACTCCATTACGATGATATATTCATTGGTTAACGGATCTTTGGAGATCCCATAATAACGCAATAGTAAGAAGAAACCGTAGTCACGAGAATAACGCGTGTAATAAGTTTTCAACTATGAAACCAATAATGTAATGAGAAAAATTGAATATAATTAAATAAGAAAAAATCAACAAAAATTTTGAAACATCGATTCTCACCTCTTTGAGGAAATCCGATGTTATATTTGCAGAATTTTTGAGTTGTTTCAGGATGACCCTTTTGTCGACCCCATCCAACCTTCTCTCTTCGGCACTGCCGGAGACCACGAAACGACAACATTTCTCGCTTAACCTATCCCACTGGGAAACAAAGATTTTGGAAAATCCGCCTTCTCCAATTTGCTTGATCTTTCGTAATTCTTTATAGGGGATCCATTCAAGCTGCTGAATCTTGCGCTCAGGACTCTGTGTAGATTTGATGAGTTCATCAACTTCCAGGTTACCACTTGTCCACTCTCTCTCCGGACTATCGCTTATCCATTCCCTATTGTTCAAGTTGTTTTTAAGTAGCGTGAATGCACTTTTAATCCTGTTCAATCTTAGGTTTGATACCATATTTTACTGAAATATAGATAGGTGAGTGTATGTACAATTATAGACAGAGTTTGCATGAGAAGTAAAATTTTTGTATGCTCATTTAATAAGGGCATAGACAAAGATTATATATAATACTGTACATTCGCACCGTCAAGAAATTGAATTTCTGATTTTGGGAAAAAAAGTATTTGAAATCAAACGTATTTCGAGGTTATTTATCTACACGGAAGGGTAACTAGTTGAACTAATTTTGACATTTTTGGCTAGCAAGATGGCATGTGGTGCAACCTCTGTTGTGTAGGAATAAATATCAGGTGTTAAGCTAGATAACAATGGCTACATCTTTGATTTAAAAAGAAAAGATTTTCATGGTTTGATGTTTACTGCGTCAAATTATTGACTTTCGACTACTTTACTTATTATCATCACATCATTATCGTCATTACTGTATCACTATTTTGGAGGTTATCGCTCGTTATCAACGCAAAAAAACGGAACAATAACCTAAACTTTGCAATAATTCTTTCATCATTATTTTTTCTTCTACATATTCACCCCAATATCTTGTCGTCTCATATTCAATCATGATAAGTAACGCTTGGTCGCCTTACCTTTTCTGGGCGATTATTGTGTTTTGTACCCAGAACCCTTTCGCATGCGTTTCAATCCTCAAAAGGGAAATTGATTTCTGCAATTAGTTTTTATAATGCGACGTGAAATAGGCAATGGACAGTATTTTGGCATTTATTCATATATACCGCATTCGTATACGTGAGTACATATTTTGCATGCATGCTTCTTTCAATGACCCTTATTCGCAAACATAAAAAATATTGAGAAAGGATGTTGATTTGGTCGATTGGCTCGTTTTGTTTATGATAACTAAATGATCAAGTAATCACTGACAAAAAAATGAACACAAAACAAATACAGCTTACGTATTGTGTCGTTATCCAGTATCAATTAATAATCAAATATATACTGTATATTAAATAATATTTGATACATAATAAGAAGGTTAATTTTTTCGTAGTGAATGTTGTTTGCATTTCTTTGTTTTTGTTTTCCCCTTCGATCAATGACGAAGATTCGCACGGATATCGTCACGATGAGTTGATGCGAATGTGTCCTCAACCGTTCGAATAATGGTGATGTAATTATGACACGCTGCTTATATCACGATCGTATGCACATACATCACCTAGGCCATAAATCGTAAAAAATAGCAAAAATAGCATATAATAATTTACATGCTCATTTATTAATTATTTTCCGCAACAATACAGAATATAGGTCTTTGTTTTCGAAATTATCTTCTTGGAATTCGCATTATTCATCGTTAAATAACGCAACGGCTGAAGAATTCACGCATTAATGACACTTGATTCGGATACTCATTCTGGTACAAAAAGGAAATATTCTCGTAATACAATGGTGATAGTTTAAACTCTGCATAACATACGTAAAAATGCAAATTATTAAAAAAAATACTGGCTATTGCTTTGCGAGCCAGGTTACAGTAAATTATTATAATTACATAAAAAAACGTGTCTTGATTCCCAAATATCGTATTCATAAAGGGATGAGATATGTTAATAATGTTGCAGATTAGATTCTGATCTCATCCAAGTAATTTGCATGATGCACCCTTGAGGCACGAGTGCTGATGCTTGGGCGAATTTGGCTAGGCGCCTGAGAACGAACGAACGAAATTTCAAGTCAAATATCATGTGACTTATGTTTTTGGATCTTTTGATACTTTTTTATACCGACTTGCGGATCGGAATTTAGCGTCATCTGGCTGCATCAGAACCTCCGCTGACATGTACCATTGCTTCTAATTTAGCAACTCATTTCCATTTTAACCCTTTCGCATCTTCTGTCGGTTTTATCAAATATGAGAAATAAGAGGTCACGGAAATATTAATCTATCAATATTACAGCATTATCGGTATTTCTCCTTTACGAATAGAAAAGGTCAATATTGCCCGTGTGATGGGTTTGGCATATTTTTAATATTACGAATCACGATTAACAAGACAATCATCATTTCCTTAAAGACCATATCATTGACAATGATCAAGATCATCATTTTGTTAAGATTATCTGTCAAGTGTCTTCAACCCTTAATTTTCTTTCTCACATGCAAAATTCCATTTTCTTTTTGTATAATAATCAATCGTCATAAATGGCCGATAGGGAATGCCAAGCATCATTGTTCCTGACCAACGGCTATTAGCTATTGCGAACCTAATAACCTCGAGCGGATAAGTCAAACTTGATCAAACTGGCTTTTAGGAGAATTTTCCATATCTGATATTTGCCTCATGTTTTCAGTGAAACAACGCCCCACCTCTTTTTACTGACATAAGGAGTATTTGCCGAAAATGGTCGCACAGAATGGTTTTCCGTGATTTCATAATCATGCGCAATGTTTGCGATATTTATGCCATTTTGTTGCTAAACATTAATCTTAATTTGAAACGAAAAAAAGTATTTTTTTTTTTTTTAAATAATTATATTCATGATTAAAACAAGAAACTGATTCAGATATTGCGAATTCGGTGTTTAATATCGTAATCGATATACAATTTCTTACAAAACATGAATTACCTTTGACGCATAGAATAAATGCTAGTGGATTTATTCAAAATAATTTTCTTCTGAATTTTTTTTTTTTTTTTTCGAATTTTATTGTTTTATGAAAATAACTAAATTCAAGATTATGCATACTGTAGCCGTTACTTGCGTTTTTAAATTTTATTTAAATTACCATATCAGAATTTATACTGTATACGGTAATTTAAAAAATTTGATATATTTTTAGTTTGATATACAACTTTTTATTTTGCTTTCACTTCTCCATCGTTTTTTAACTATTATTGGTATTATTGTCATCATTATTAATTCATATATTGTATATTTCATGTTTTGTTTCAAATAGACTTTCTTTCCGATTTATATCATTTGCTGAATTATATTAAAAATAAAAATTATTTATCATTCATTTATAAATACGTATTTTTTCTGTAATTTTATCAAGATATACAGTATCAAAAAAAAACCATTATTATAGAGTTATATTTTGATTTCAAATAACAAATAGATTTTTTTTTCAATAACATAAAAATTTTAAATTTAATATAATATACTGTATATTGTTAAAAAAACTTTTATTTGTATTTGAAAAAAATTATCATAAAAAGGAAAATCAAATTTTTTTTTACAAAAAAAGACTTTCAAAAATCCAGAAGGGCCCTTTACATTCTTCAATATTAAATAAATATAAGGAATTTATTAATTTTCTTATTTTTCAAAATATAAATTTATTGGATATTCTATATATATTATATTTAATAACTCTTACCTACAATTAAATTTAATTAAGCTATATAAAAATAAAATCTTTGGTTTTTTTAATAATTATGAGTTGAAATTAAATTGAAACAAAAAAAATTATATGAAAAAAGAGTTTTAATATAACTTCTATAAAAACCTATATTTTTCTGATATATCAGACTTTATAATATAAAGAATATTTTAGTCTAAAATTATTTCAATTTAATACTTGCTTAAAAGAAAAAAATTTAACTAAGGAAATCTAAAACTACAAATAGTAAAAAATGTTAATCTGCTTTCTTCAAGATTTTAAGCAAAAAATATTTAAAATATTCAAATATTTAATTATTACTATAATATAATATAATGTTTCTTTTATAATAAATACAGTTAAAATAAGATTTAAATTAGACTAAATATTTTAAAATTAGTGATAAAATTTTCATTTTTAAAAATTCCATTTAATATATAAATCTATTTTTTTAAATAAGAAATTAATATATTGAATATGTCTATAAATAAGAAAACAAATTAACTTAAATAGATTTAAATATATACAATATATTATAAATAAATAATTTAATAAATAACTTGTACATATAACATATTTTATCTAAAAAAAATACTATAATAATAATTAATATTTTTTTATTTTTTTTTATAAATAAACATTATTTCTTTATTTGATTTGTATATAACAAAATATATATTATAAAAGAAATAATATTTTTTATATTGATATAATAAGTTAAATATTAAGTTATTTACAATAACTATATGACTAATATTTAAAAAAATTTTAAAACAATATATTTTGCTATATAATATCAAATAGTTATAAATATTTACTTAGTATTAATAATTGAAAAAATCAATTTAAATAAATTAGCAATTAAAATAAAAAATCTGACTCAATTAAATTTTATTAAAGTATAATTCAAACTTTACTTATATTATATTGTATATATTAATTTTATTAATAATTGGTTTTATGTTTTATATTATTTTTTAAAAAATTTTAAATATTATATAAACTATATATATAATTGAAATTATAAATTTTTAACAAACTTAATTGTATATACTCCAAATCTAAATTTTTAATAAATTTGATTATATATATTCCAAATATAAATCCAAATTAATATCAATTATATTTATTCAATGAAACAATCCCTGCTATATTTTTCAGAAAATTCATTAATTAATAATACATGTCTCAATAGCAGTATTAAGCGATGTAAAAATTTTTCAACATTACTAGAAATTATATAATCTATAAAAGTTCTTCTGTTACTTAAATTTTTAAATATGGACATACTTTACATAATTTAAAAATCATTATCAAATCCAATTAAAATATTAAGAAAGTACATAAAAATAACTATGATAATATAATTGTATTCAGAATTAAACTATTTTTAGATATGTTATTCACTTACCAAACTCTTTATCAACTATATTTTAATTAATATCCAGATGCCTTCTAATCAAGATATAAGTTTTGCACTAAAGATATCTAATATATTTTTAAGTATCTTAAGGTCTTTATTAAAACTATATAAATAATCAAAAATATTAATTAAATTTTCTATTCAGATAGTAATTAAAAATCAATTTTATATATTGTTAATGGTGAAATAGTGAGTCTGTCGCTTGGGACAGGTCAAACTCACATA